TATTTTTTAAGTAGTGTAGTCCTTTAACTAATAATATATAATGACGAGTTAGTCACTTTGTGAAAGTCTGTAAATTATTTAGGTATTTCTCAATATCTTAATAAAGATATGCCATTGTGGTATGATTGCGGGTTAAAAAAAAAAAAAAAAAAAAAAACATATTATTTATATATTTTTAGCCCTATGTATTTTATAATTATTTTGCGCTACTCTAAAATATATAAAAAAACTACTTCTCAATCTTAATAAAGATAACTCTTTTATATATTAAACTCATTGCCTAAGAATTCACTGACACTGATATATCCATTTCAAGTCTTTTACAACTTGGTAACAGTGGATTAACAAGATATTTCCCTCCTTGCCACATATATATACATCTAAAACTTTGTCAAAATAAATATTGAACAATTTACATACTTTATGTAACAGTTTAATAATACCATGGCTATTATGATCAAGGGAATAAAGAAAGACAAGACAAAGAGAAGACTGTCACAGGTAGTTCTTCTTCCTCTACAACTGTCACCCCAAAGATCATATTGAAAATTCCCACCTTTAAAGGAGAAAATGTTGAGATTTGGCTGCGTCAAACAGAGAATATCTTGAGAACCCAAGGAGTCATCGAGGAAGGACAAATAATTTACTATGCTATTACAAGATTTGAATATGCCACCCTACACTGGTTTGTTACAAGGTCAAGGATTTTACTTCATCTGTCTTTTTCTCCTGAAATGAATTCAAGAAGGAGCTTAAAAATACCTTTCAGCCTCCTCACTACCAGTAGTATTTATATACACAGTTGAAACACCTGTACCAAATAGGAACTATCCAAAAGTACTTAATACAGTTCTAAAATATAGTAAACCAAATTGACACCATGGAACAATTGAACCAAGTTACTTATTTTATTGATGACCTAAAACCTGCAATACATATGGAAGTGGGTTATCAAGCTTCCAAGATATTGGATAATATATAGAAATTAGCAATCAAATATGACATTACCATGTTTGGAGTGGGAAGTCTGCCAATGGAAGAAATACTGCAAGAAGACACCAGTCAACAACAACTATTATAGAGGAAACCGCTTTGCTAAATTGGATCAAGCTGAAACCCGATGATATAATCACAATTATAATAATTACATCCAATACCCTAGAAAAAACAACAATGCTGAAAAAAGAACTATTACCTACTACAACTATGGAAAGGAATGACATATCACTCATAAATACAGAAGCCCACTAAAAGCCAAGATGAACAATATTGAAAATATCTGGTACACCCAGATACTAAATTTATTTAAATAGAAAAAAACAAAGAATAGTTGCTATATTTCAATAGGAAAATTAATGGACACAAAGCCTGGATCCTTCTGGATAGTGGAGTATCAAAGAATTTTATTGATGAAAAGTTTGCTACAAGATAACAGCTGCCACAAAGAAACACTATCCCATTCACTATAGAACTTACTTATAAAAAAAAAAAGGAAGTCACTACTAAAGTCAATATCAAGTAACTAGAATTGAATACCTACTGCACTACCAAAATCTCTGCTCAAGTTCTAAGTCAGCAAAGATATAATGCTATACTTGGGAAGCCCTAGTTGTATCATGCCAATCCTAATATCAATTGGAGAAGCAATATTTTCACTTTTCGATATGAACTATACACCATCACTGTTAATGCTAGTCCATGCAGAACTAAGCAAGAACCTGAATGCCAATTTCTTTTTATTTCCAGATATCAATTTGCAAGAATTCTATCTACCAAAGAACTATTGGCTATCTGTATCATTACTGCTGAGAAAATCATACCCAAGGAAACCAAGTTTGCTATTGAAGAAGCTATTGTATCAAGAAATTTGCTGATGTATTTTCTCCTAAATTGCCAAACAAGTTGCCCTCCCAAAGAACCATTGATCATGCTATAGATTTGCTGTCTGAAGCTGAACCACCCTTCAAATCTATCTATTGCCTCTCATATATGGAGATGGATGAACTCAAGAAACAACTTGCTAACCTCCTTGTCAAAGGATTCATTAGATCTAGCATCTTTTTATTTGGTGCCCCTGTGCTTTTTGTGCATAAAAAGGAAGGAAAATTGCATCTCTGTGTGGATTATAGAGCCTTAAACAAGGCCATCATCAAGAATTGGTACCCACTATTGCATATAGAGAAATTAATGAATCACTTAGCTGGTACCAAATATTTCATAAAAATTGATCTCTACTCTGATTACCATCAAATTTGTATCAAAGAAGAAGACATCCACAAGACTGCTTTTAGAACCTGCTATGAATATTATGAACTCTTAGTTCTCCTCTTTGAATTGACTAATGTCCCTACCACTTTTATGACTTTGATAAATAATATCTTTTATCCATACCTGGATGACTTTGTAATTGTGTACCTAAATGACATTTTGATTTACAGCAAGACAAAAACTGAGCACCTACAATATCTGAGAACTGTACTAAAAACACTATAAAAATATCACCTGTATGCAAAAGTCAACAAATGTGAACTTTTCCAACAACATGTAGAATATATAGGACATTTCATCTCCGACCAAAAAATAGCTGTTGACCTGCATAAAATAGAAGCCATTAACAACTGGCCCACACCCACCAATGCTTCAGAAGTTAGATTCTTTCTAGAACTAACAAGCTACTATTACAAGTTTATATCTAGATTTTTTGCAATAGCTATACCTGTCACTACCATCTTTCACAAAGATAAAGCCTTTGAATGGATCAATGAAGTCCTTAATGTCTTTGATATCTTGAAGAAAAAGCTAACTATCACATATGTCTTCCTATTGTCTAATTCTATCAAACTATTTATTGTAACAATTAATGCCTCAGACTTTGCAATTGAAGCTGTCTTGATACAAAATCAAGGAAATAGAAAACAACCAGTCACCTATAAATCTAAGAAACTATCTCCTGCCAAGCAAAATTATGCTATTCATGAGAAGGAACTTCTAGCCATTGTGCATGCTATTAGAACTTGAAGAATGTATTTAAAAGAATAACAGTTTACTGTCATCCCCAATCATACCTTATTAGAGTATATCAAAACACAATCTAACTTGTCAAAAAGAAAAGCTCATTAGTTAGAAACTCTTCAAAGTCACAACTTCACAGTTAAATATCAGTCTAGGAAAACAAATATTGTAGCTAATGCCTTGTCAAGATAATCACATCTTGCCTTTATTACTACTTTCTCTATTATTCTTGTCAATGATCGAACTTTTCTGCAAGTATATCAACAAAACAAGTATTTTGTTACCATTCTTGATATATTGCAATACCCTGAGCAAGCTGAGGAACAGAAAAAGAATTATACCAAACACTTCATATAGAAGAATTAAAAAATATACCTTTGTGAAAAATACTATCTAACAATCCCTGTTAACAAATGCATCCATATCCATATTCTTAGAGAGCACTATAATATAGAAGCTGCTGAACATTTGGAAATTGACAAGACTACTAAGAACATCATGAGAACCTTCTACTGGCCAAAGATGGGAAAAGATATTTGTAAATATATTCAAACTTGTGATACTTGCCAAAGAAACAAAGCTAGCAATCAACAACCTGCTGAACTCCTTTAACCATTGCCAATATCTACCAAGTGATGGGAAGAAATTAGCATGGATTTTATTGTATAATTACCTTTGATAAGACAAGAACACAATGCCATTTTTGTGTTTATAGACCATCTCTCTAAGCAAGCACACTTTCAACCTATGCATATATCTGCCACAGCACCAGAAGTCACCAATATCTTCTTCAATAACATCTTTAAAAACCATGAATTGCCAAGAACTATTGTATCAGACTGAGATGCAAGATTCACTAACCAATTCTGGCAAGCTGTATTCAAACATTTAGGAACTAAGACTACCATGTTTACTGTCTTTTATCCTTAAACAGATGGACAAACAGAGTGAATAAACAGAACCTTAGAAAAAATGCTTAGAGTTTACTCCACCTACAAACAATACCAATGGAATGAATACCTTCCAGCCATTAAATTTGTATATAACAACTCAAAGCAAGCCTCTATTGAATTCATACTCTTTAAATTAGACTGTGAACAACATCCAATGCTCCTAATTACCATAATAACAACTGCAACAACTAACATATCTATCACAGATTATTTCTTACACTACTGGAATATTATGATTGAGTTAACCAAGAATATACTCAGAGAAGCCCAGAAATAACAAATGAAGTATGCCAATGAACACTGCTGCCATTTTACATTCAAACTACAAAATCAGGTTTTGCTTAACATGAAGAATACCAATTTATCTATAGATTGACACCAGCCCATCAAGAAATTAATACCAAGATATGTCAGACCTTACACTATCTATGAAATAATCTTCTTGACTATATACAAATTGAGCTATCATCTAGCATAAAAATTCATCTCATATTTCACATCTCTCTGTTGAAACTATATCAACTATCATCTGACAATTTTTTCTGAGAAATTCTATTACCACCAGTTATCTACTTTAATAATAAACAAGAGAAATATAAAATTAAAATTATCCTGGACAAAAGGACCATTTGTAAGAAAATTTAATACCTAGTCAAATGGATAGAGTATTCTTTCCATAATATTATCTGAACTTTCAAGGATAAATTAATCAACACAATGCAATTAGTAAAAGAATTTGAAGAGATGAGGATGTCTCACTCTTAAGAAAGGGAGAATGTAACAATCTGAGTCTACCACTTCACTTTTGCCAAGACTGCTGAGATTGTCAAGACTATCAAATCAACATCACAATTACATTATATAGATCATCAGAACTTATTTACTATAAATAGTAATTGGCTATCAGATTTTGGTGAATAAGGTATCAATCATTTCTTTTTATTTTATTTCTTTTCTTTTATTTTCCATTTATGATTAACTATATATTACATAAGTTGTTTGAACTATAAGCCATATGATTTATGTATTTTTAGTCCTATGTATTTCATATTTATTTTGTGCTACTCTAAAATGTATAAAAAGGTTGTTTCTTGATTTTAATAAAGATAACTCTTTTGCATATTAAACTCATTACCTAAGAATTCACTGACTCTGATGCATCCATTTCAAGTCTTTTACAATAGGTTAACACCTTTTTTAAATATCAAGAAAAACCTTACAAGCAATAATTTAGACCGATAAATCATAAATACCTATAAAATATGGAGGGATATTCAAGCTTCATTGACTATACAATAAAGAAACATATATATCACAACAAACAAAATTTCAACAAACACAATGTCACACAAATATATATATGTATATTCTCTCAAAAATAACAAGATAAAAAAGATATGTCTATATAAATAATATTTATAGATTATCTATGTATTTACAGTAAACAGATTAACAACAATCATATTTTTACATATCTATATAAATAACATTTATAAATTATCTATGTATTTACAATAAATAGACAACAATACTCATATTTTCACATGTTCATAACAAGTTGATCAATAACAACAACATTATTATCACAATAAACACATGAAACATAATCTAAATTCATAACATAACAACTTTAAAATTTTTTTATATTACCAAATTAGTAACAAGGAATAAACAAACCTTTACCACGTGTTATAAAAAACAAAATACAGGTTAATCCTATCAATCTATAATACATGACAAGTATAACAATGTCAACAACATGAAGATTACTACAGATCACAAAGAAATGGGAAATTCATATCCTAGAAACTCTAATCAATTTAACAAATAAGTATAATTAAGGAAAAAACTATAGATAGCACAAACAATCCTCAATACAATTTCTATACAAGAAGACAACCCCTAGTTTTACAAGATGCTCAATTATAGATAATATTATAGCTAAAATTCTCAATATTAACCATACCACTTTCACTAAAGCTACAATTCTAAGACAATACATCTTATACTTGTAGGCCCAAGGACAAAAAAAAGAGAACAATTTACTGGTCCAATTCTTGAAAGACAAGTACATAGAACTTATAAAACAAAAAGAAAAACCATATTGACAGTATCAAACAAAACAAGAAAGCATAGTCACAAACAACCCATATTCAAGTTCAACAAAATTAACAAATAAAAAAACAGTTATGGAAATTCAAACAACATACACAATAGAAGTTCCCAACAATGTTAAAATAGAAATAAGTGATAAAGAGATTGCAGATCAATTGAAAATAAAGGAAA